GGAAACTGACACACTCTAATAAATACTTAGACTTTAATTCATCCCATCCAGAATTGGTGAAGATAGGTTCAGTTAAATGTCTGTATAATCGGGCCAAGAGCCTAACTAGTAAGCCAGAAGATTTAAATAACGAAATCAAACAAATAAAGGAAATATTACTAGTGAATAACACACTACCCACCAGAATTTATTTAGAAATGTATGAAGACTCATAGAATGAAGATAAAATTAGTAATGAAAAGGATAAAAATAACGAAGAAAATAATATAGAATTCAAAGCCTCTGTAGTACTGCCGTATAAAGAAGGAACATCAGAGACCCTATGTAGAATTCTTAGTAAGACTGAAATTTGAGTGGCGTTTAAATCAACTAACTCACTCGGAGACAAACTTTGTCAGCCTTAGGACACGATAGATCCTATTAGGAAAAATAATATAATTTACTAAATACCATGTACTACAGCTAAGTGTCTCGTACTTCCTCCCAGTTGGTGACATTGTTCACTGAATCATTGGGATTTGATTGGCACTTGGGTAATTTGGTCGCTGTAGTGATTTCCTCTCAATGTAGACTTTGTTACGAACAAACATCACTTAAAGATCTTTTAAAACCAGCAGGGATTACTGGGTGGTTGTTTCGCCCCAGTTTGAGACTCTTCATTATGCACATTCATGACCTACCAGTTAACCGTCACCTTCAGCTTATGTGACCTATATAAATGCATAGTATCAATTTCCAACTCATTAATGATTACTGGATAGGTGATGTCCTGAGGTTTTACTGAGAATTCGTGTTCAGTGGAGTCCAACATGTCAAGCTGAAGTGAGTACTAACCGTCGGCATTGGTTGTAGTCAGCGCTATATCACGAATTGTCTGAAGTTATAGTCCACATGAAATTGAATTTCGACCCAAGTAGTTGAATTTTCATCTCATAACCTGAAGGCTTCGCGTTCGAACCTTGGTTGGGTCGTAGGTGAGCGCCGATGAAGAGTCCCAGACTAGGAGGAAACAGCTCTCCAATGCTTCCTAGTTTCCAATGATCTCTGTAACTGGTGTTGGTGCATTACGGAATCTACATTGAAATTAATTCAAATCCCTACAAAAATCGATTTTCAGTGGTTATTCATTTGGTCACTTCGTGTAGTAGTTCTACATGGCGTCAATTGTAAGTTAAAAGAGATTCTTAATGGTTTAGGTCACATAGATGTAGCAAGCTCTACTGGCTCTACTTATTTCAATGAGTAGTATATACCATTACTGGTAAAAAAATTTCATTTTCAAACGTGTATGGCGTTGATTTAAATTTAATTTAATTTCAGATTTTCCCGTCGATTGATTGGAACGAAGTGCTCGGTCTCAGGTTGACTTGTCTGTCGGCTTTTTGTGCAGATGCTTCGACGATGTCTGGGTATGTAATTAGAAGTTAAATGGTGGATGGTGACTAGCAGTGGAATAATCCAGGATAACGCGCATTTCGTCCTATTTGGGACTCATCAGCTATCGGGATGTACCTGCATTCCCCAGTGAGTGAGTGATGATGTTCCCACTGAGGCTCGAACCCAGTGCCCATAGTTTCAAACGCCAAAGCGTTATCCACTAGACCACTTAGGCCATGAGAACCACCTCTTGTGCAACGGGTCATATTAATTGTTTAATTGAATTTCAGATTTCTCCGTCTATTGATTGGCACTGGGTTTGAGCCTCGGTGGGAACATCATCACTCACTCACTGGGGAATGCAGGTACATCCCGATAGCTGACGAGTCCCAAATAGGACGAAATGCCCGTTATCCTGGATTTCACTGCTAGTTACCATCCACCAATTAAGTTGATTTGAATCCCTAAAGGCACAGAAGCTTTCACATACTTCATACTTATAAGTGGTAAGTATGGGTCTATGCTTTCTTCTCTGGAGACTGCTAGTAATTAACACCATTTAACATCAATATGTAACTCGATTAATCATTTTTTTCTTGATGAGGTTACGTTCTCTGAGATGGATAGTTTAAATTGAGAAGCTGTCGTTCCCTTTCTAGACAATGTATTAAGGCTGTTACTTCAACATGAAGTGATTTTTTGGAATTGCCATTCTTGATAACCGTGGTTATTATGCGTTCTCTGCTAAGGTTTCATTATCTCGATGTCTTTTGGTATTTCGTTAGGGTTCAAAAAAGTAGGGTACTAGCAGATTTATCCGTATAAAAGCTCCAAAAAGGTAGGCACATCCAAGGCTGCCCATATCAGAGTGCATTAACATAAGAAACCACATAGGAACAGGTCAGGGGATGATACTATTCGTGAAATCTGTCCTTACCAGAGCTTTGATCCGTAAACTGCCATTCATGAAGAATTCTAGAAAGAAAACCTCACTTCATATTGATATCAGTGCTGAAGATGCTGTTGTCTAGGAGGACAGTTAAACCACCCGACTCACAGAACTGACTGACTGATTGTGTTCTAACATAGAACTTTAACACAAAAGTGTAGTGATTCAAGTTTTCACACCCCATGTAGCACACAAATCTAGGCAACGAAGAAAAAAGAGACTCTAAAGGACAATAATATGCGGAAAAGTACAGGAGAAAAAGTGTGGTGAGAGATGGTTGCTAGCCAAATTGGTTGACAGTAATTGAGGTCAATGTTAGTCATGTGAAAACAAGGTCAAAATGGACAGGCGGATACAGTTAACATATAGATGAACTGACACAGCCACAAGAGATGCAAGGTTAACTTTGTGTGAGAAACAACCAATCAACAGACTGTATTTTCTACTAACATTAACCTACAATCATGTACATCAAAATCTATATATACGTGTTGATTTTCCGTAATAAACTTTCTGTTGCCTGGCCCTTGTCTTCTGTTGTTATAACAGTAGTAATCCAGAAAACATGAAGATCTAATAGGTGTAGGATATAACAGTGAGTGAATGATTCTCCGCCACTCAGAACGATTTTAAGCCATATCACCAGCGATCAAGTGCTGATTTGCAGTGATTTCAACGGTTGCAGGGTTGACCACTAGATGACATCAGTTACAGAACCATTGGAAAGCCAGAAAGGAGTACTGGACTGGACTTAACTCTAACTCACTTCAGAGGCTCAGGGACTGACTCGTCACCATCAGGGAAAAATCTCGTTGACTTAGAATATGCTGATGATATAGTCCTCTCTCCAAGGTGAAGACGTTGACAAAATAGAGCAGAGTCTTCTAAACACCTTGCGGTGAGCTGCAATCTACGAATGTTTGGCATATGATTCATTCCTGTCTAAGGTAAGAATGTAAGGTAAGTGAATGTGTATGTCCATTTCGGTGTATTTTCTACGTATAAGGGATGAGATTATTATCATTATTATTATTCAGGGTCTTCTGAACGCCTTGAGCTGCAATCTTCGTATGTTTGGCATGCGACTCGCTCTTGTTGTCAAATGTAAGATGACAAAACTACAGGACTGGTATGGACTACAATGACTCCTGGTTTAGAAATAGATAGTGAAGTGGTAGAGCACGTTGACCACTTTACTTATTTGGGAAGTTGCATGAGCCAGTGCCAATGGGTTGATCGCTGACGAAATCTCAGCATAGATACAGAAGGGTCGTTTCACATATGCCAGTTTACTCCGTCTCTGGCGTAGACGTTATATTCCACTGGCTATCTACCGAATGGCGTGTGTATTGCTCAACAGTCCGCTCCGTCCTCCTTTATGGCTGTGAGTGAGACATGGCCATTGAGAGTGGAAGACATGAAAAGCCTGGCCAGCTGTCTTTGATCATATGTGCCTACGCTCTATCTCCCGTGTTAGGCGGCGGTGTGATAGGGTGAGCAATATTGAGGTTAAGCATCGAGTACTGGGTAGGTGGGAGGAGAAATCAATCAACGAGACTGTGAAGCTACATCGACTGAGATAGTTAGGACATATTGTGTTACGTGTGCATACCTAGACATCACCTTCATCAACGGGCAATGTTAGTTTAAGCTAGTCATGTATGAAGGTGTAGACTTCCTGACTGGCTGGTTGGTGTTCTCGGGACGGTAAAAACCAATAAAGGCTGAGACAATCGGTGATATGGCTCAAAGTGATCGTTCTCAATGGCTGGTGCAGATGCATCCACTCCTTGTAACTTATAATTTCCAATGAAACTATATTGCTCTTCTTTATTACTATTCCTTTTGTCTTATATCCCTGTTAACTGTCTTTTTTACATTTCTTCTCTTGCTTTGTGTGCTACAAGGAGGGAGTGTGGCGAATTGAACTGGTGCACTTTGGTGCAAAGTTCTATGTCGAAAACAGACAGACAGACTGGACTATCTGTTTGTCCCCCTGGTTTGGGACTCTTCATTAGTACACACCCATTGTGGTTCGAACCCATGACCTTCAGGTTGCAAGGCGAGCTCGTAGACGACCATTCAGCCACTGGGAACCAACCCAATGGTCCATGAATTCCAACTTCTACCGATTCGTGATATGTATTTAACACAACCGTCAGTCAGTGTCACAGGCGAATAACTGTCGTCTTGCCTGACATGGTGGATCGCGCTGGGAGGTCGAAACTGGACGAAACAGCTGTCCAGTACTCCTTGCTAGTTTTCCAGCTGTTCTCTAAATGATATCGCCAATTGTGTCCAGCTATTGGTTTCTAAGTATCCCAAGGGCCTTAACCAAGTAATCTACACCTCCTTATGTGACTGGCTCAAACCAACTTTCACAGATTTCATATAGTGTTGCGCCAAGTTTCGTTTTGACCATCGCTAACTATTCTCTGACCTAATCCTATGTAGACTAATATCGCCCACCGGTGGGCCAGCATGCGCAACACGTGTTCTGGCCATATCAATCGATGCAATTTCATAACTTCAGAGAAAACAATCACATTAAAAACATCCACCCATTTCATCTACAATCCTTGTCCGCTTATTTCAAATTATTAATCTCCTCTTTGATGTTTCCTTCTTTCTTTTTCAGGCTACACACAACTGCATAGGATAATATTTTGGTGTGATGGGTGCAGAACAAAGTGTTGTTGGCCATCAGAAGTCGTCTAGTATTCAACAAAATCTTCACACAACTGTTTTATCACCGACGTCTTCTTCTCATTCTAAATCCACAAAACAGACAGGTAATTGTATGCAGTTGGTAGGGCAGATTGATTGAATTATCTAATTGTATTTATAAGAAAAGGCACAAACAGCAAAGAAAATTTTCCCTTTTCGACGATTCATTTTCATAACCTGCTGTACAATCGTATTCATATATTCAACAGAAATCTTTAGACCAATTATAGTATTATTATTGTTTCCTTTAATTCCTAGAGGAACATAGGGCTTCAGCCGTGCGTATCCGTTGCGTTCGATTCTCTGCTAGAGTTTTCACCTGGCTCCAAGTCTGCCCACACGTTTTCATCTCCTCTTCACATGACCTCTTCCTCCAAGTCACCCTTGCATTGACGATCAACTCACCGCTTCCCGTTCGGGTTCCACTCCAGCAATGGCTTGTCTAGTGATGTCACTTGATGGTTTGTTTCCTCAGAGTATGGCCAATCCATCTCCATTTATTCCTGCCTACCTGTTTCACAATCGGTTTCTGCTCTGTTGGTTCGCTCATTGCGAGAGATCTCTGTTGCTGATCTTTTCTGGCCATCTGATCTTGAGTATTGAGAGAAGACAGCTGGCTGTTAATGAAGGTCTGTAGTTTGTTTGAGATGCTCTTTATGACGCGTAGTGCAAGTCTCTGATCCGTATAGTGAGTAGCACTGACTGACTTCACATTGGAGTTGAAAATCCGGATCTTATTTTTCATGCTGGGTGCTGAGTGCTGTTGACCTCCACACAGACTTGAGAGTAGTGAAAGCTTGTCTTGCTTTCTCGATCCTCGCTGCTTTGATATCCTTGTCAGTTCCACCCACCTGTAGTTGAAACGATACTTCCAGGTTGGTAGGTAAAAGAGGTTGTTTCTTTCAGGTTCCTTGCATTTATGCTGATTGCTGACTGTTGGTCAGAAATCTTCTTCACCACTGTTTTCTCTATGTTCACCTGAAGTCCTATCTTTGATGCTTCTTGTGCCAACTTGTTGCTTTTCGCTTGCATATCTTCCAGTTTGTAGGAAATCAGACATATATCATCATCATATATCGACACATATCATCATCATACCAGATCTTCCAAGTTTTTCGTGAGGGTCGATTTTATGCCTGTTTCCTCGCTGCCCGTTATCTGGCGCATTATCCAATCTATAGCAATCAGGAAATTAATCATTTTAGATAGTAGGCAGTCAGCCTTGTCTTACTCCCGTCTTCACTTCCAAGGATTCCGTAAGTTTCCCGTTGTGGATTACGTGGTATGCAGCATTTGTGGACTTGACGTTACGAAAGTCCGAGCAAGCTAATTGATAAATACACGTAGAAGTGGCCAGAAGCGGTATCTTATCCTTAACGTTAGACTGGGTTAACTATCTTCTGGAGAATAAGATACGTAAGGTGGCTGTTGGAAATGTCTTCTTCTGACATTTAGAAAGGCGGTTTCTGAGAATTTCCGCTGCTATGTTACCTTTGAATTCCAAGTTCGTGAAGAGGGTTTTCTTAGGAAGAGTTGGGATGTTTGGTAACAGACTAGGATGAAACAGCTGTCCAGTACTCCCGGGTTTTCAGTGGTTCTCTAACTGATATCATTCCGTGATCAACTCGGAAAAACAAAACTAATTCTTACAAACCAACTATAGAAAATTAATCTGATGCTCACTAGTGACTTGCTACAGGATGGAGTTTCCTGTAGTTCTAGTGAGAAGTCGTGACCAATGAGGTCCATCCAGACGTCACGTGTGAGGATGGATGTCTCACCGATGACATTGGTTGGGGTCGTGCTAAATCACGAATTGGCAGAATTGGCGGAAATCATGCACTGGCCATTGAAACGGGTGCTCCCAGTGGCTGAATGGTATACGGGCTTGCCTTGTAATCGGAAGTTCCCGGCTTCGAACCCCGACGCAGTGTGCGTGCGCACTGCCGGTGATTCCCAAACTAGTGGGATAAGACAGCTGTCTGGTAGTACTCCAGTGCTAGTTTTCAATGGTTCTCTAACTGATATATTGGTTATATAAATTATAAGAATTTCACAAAGATTTCTTGAAGCGGTTACGTAATCAATACTAGCAAGTGGAAATCATATTAGTTTGTTTATTAGATGTATCACACAGTGAAGAAACAGTATTATTTACTGGATGACGTTTCGAACAAACTTTATTGTTCATAATCATGTCATCAATTATAATCACACGACTTCGAAACTTGAGTTTTATAGTTTTTTTGTTCTCTCCTGTTTGTCGTCGTTGGGGTAGTAGAATTTTCCAGATATCTAGGACAGGTGTTGAATCATTCCTATTACATGTATTCGCTCTCAGTTGATTCGATAAACAAAGCTCCTGTTATCAATCTCTCCCTCCACCCTGTGACATTAGATTTTAAAACTGTCATCCTATCACATCACGTCATATTGTATGGTTGTGTGTAACTGCATGTAGTTTGGTGCTATAGCTGAACTATTCTCTAGATTTCTTATCTTATTCGGGTCAACCAATCTAGATTTGGTTAAATTTTTATGTCCGGCTAGTCTGACTTCCTCTGTTCTACTAGTTTGACCTATGTATTTGACCTGACAATCATTGCAGACAGGGTATTAGATAAACTAAATTGTTTTGTTTTAACCGACAAAGCTTGTTTCTAATTGAGTTTGTGGTCGGTTTGAATGCCATTTTTATTCCTGCCTTGTTAAGATTTCTGCGTAAGGTGGTTTCCGAGGTTCCTTCTTTGTATGGAATTACTACTGATGATTTAAATTCCTTATTGTTGGTGTCATTATTATTATTATCCTTATTATTGTTTTCATTATTATTATAATCACTATCACTACTATCATTATTTATTTTATTTTTACGTTTCCTTACATATTTCCTGACTAATTTATCAGGGTAATTATTAAGTTTCAAGGCTTCTTTTATGTGTATCACTTCCTGTCTTAGATTTTCCTTGGTACTACTTAGTTTTTGTGCTCTGTCACTTAAACATTTCACCAATCCTATTTTCACTGACATAGGATGGGATGATCGGAAGTCCAAATATCTGTTTGAATGTGTGGGTTTCCTGTAAACACACGCTAGTGTGTTTAACTTCCCATCTTCTTTCCTTTTTACGCTACAATCTAACATTGGGAGCTCCCCTTCCTGACTTTCCAATTCATAAGTGAATTGAATTGCCTCCACCTTTGAGTTAATGTGTTCGAAAAATTTATCTATATCTTGTGTTCTAAGTACAGTGAATGTGTCATCTACATACCTCCACCATACTTTTGGGGTGGGGGTGAACGTTTCAATCGCTATGCTTTCCCACTTATCCATGAATATATCTGCTACAACCGGGGATATTGGTGATCCCATGGCAACTCCCTCAGTTTGTTTGTATATTTTCCCTTGGAATTTAAATACTGTGGAAGTCAGGCATAGCTGCACTCCCAGCATTATGTCCTCAAGTGGCACTTTTGTCCTAAGTTCGAGTTCTTGGTCAGAAATGAGTTCGTTTCTGACTGCTTCTATAGCCATATTTATTGGTATACGTGTATATAAACTGACAATGTCAAAACAAAACATTTTTTCTTCATTATGTAATTTTAAATTATCTAATCTGCGTTTTAATATTTTTAGTATTTTTAATATATTTATGCGTTGAAGTTTCTGTAGCAATTTGGTTAAGTTTTCGGGGTGGAGTTGCTAGCACCACGCCCCAACCCTCCCTCTTTATCCGGGCTTCGGACCGGCTAGAAAACTAGCGAGCTAGTAATCTAGGCGAAAACCGATAAACTGGTCGAAGAAGCAGCAAAGACAGGACTCCAGGTGAACATAGACAAGACGGAGGTTATGAAAATAACCAACCAACAACAACAACAGCAGCAGCAACATCCAGTGCCAATCACCATCAACGGGAGGGATTTGAAAGAGGTTACTTCATTCACTTATCTAGGGAGTATTGTCTCAACTACAGGAGGAACCGACGAGGATGTTAAATCGAGAATCGGGAAGGCGAGAAACACATTCATCAACCTGAAACCAATCTGGAAATCTTCGTCACTCAACTCAGCATCAACAACAAAATTCGGATTTTCAATACAAACGTCAAGTCAGTCAGTTCTTCAATATGGATCAGAAACTTGGCGGGTCACGAAAAATATTTCCAACAGCCTGTTGCAGACCTTTATCAACAACTGTCTTCGCCGGCTCTATACTGAAGATCAGATGGCCGGAAAGAATCACCAACAAGAAACTATAGGAACAAACAAAACAAGAACCAGTCGCCCAACAAATATGCAGGAGAAAGTGGAGATGGATTGGACACTCACTGGCTGAGGAGGCCGCTGGGTGACATCGCGTGTCAGGCCATAGCTCGAGTGGAACCCGAAAGGGAAGCGGCGAGTGGGACGTCGGTGCAAGGGTGACATGGAGGAGATCGTGTGAAGAGGAATTGAAACAGTATGGACTAACATAGATGCAGGTGAAAAGTACAGCAGAAGACAGAAGCAAGTGGAGACGTGCAGTTGAAGCCCTATGTTCCACTAGGAACCCAAGGGAACAATAATTAAAAAATGATAATAATCTTTACGTTTTAGTTCGTAAGAATTAGTTAGTCTAGATTTCGAGTGGCTTTTTAGGGGATTTAATACCATGGCTAAATATTTAGATAATAAATAAATAATACTGTTTCACTCACTGTGTGATACATCTAATAAACAAACTAATATGGAATTACTTACTACCACAGTGGCCAAGTTTTACACATATCATATTAACAAGTGGAAATCAGCCTGCATATTATCTAAATACGAGATGAATATTTTCTGTTTTTGATAATGATTACATATATATTCAATATCTCTTCTAGGTCATTCTTCATCAGTCCCATCTTCACCGCATTACGACTGGCGTCGTCAATCATTAACAGGATCAGTTGTCAATAATACATTATTGCAAAGCACCAATAGTAACAGTCAATTAATTCCATCTAATCGTCAACAGTGTCATCAGAAACAACAACAACAACAAAGAACTTCATTATCCAGTCTATCCAGAGATGTACTACTATCACAATCATCTGTCTTATTCCCATCAACAGCGTCAATAGTTGAACCACGTTTGAATCAATCGCATAGGTCACTTTCAACGAAATCATTGAATTATTCACTGGATAAGTCTACAGGGACATCAACTTCGCATAAACATTCCACTGGTATCCTAGTTGTTAATCGTGGCCGATATGCATCAAGTCAATATGAATTAAGCACTTGTGGAGATGTTAACAGTGGTAATAATAATAGTAGTAGTAGTGCAAATAATTATACAGATATTGGTATAAGCCAGTTGAAAAAACTTCAACGGATATCTACATTTGAACCGCTTATATCCGTTAACAATAGTGGTGGCGGAGTTGGCGTTAAAACATCTTCATCATCTCACTCAACAGCAACAACAAATCAACAGACTAGTGGTAGTAGTAGTAGTGTAAACTCTCACGCGTCAACAGGATTTAGAAAGAAACAATTTATTCCAAACATTCCAGAATTTGAATGTGATGAGGTAATGTTGTAGTTTTCCTTGTTTTTTTTTTTGTTGTTGGAAAAAAAGACCTTTACTGTCACAGTTAATAATGTTTTCTACACTTGTCTAAATCAGTTAAGTTTCATTCGATAGGTCCAGAATTTGAATCGCCCCTCTCCGCCTTTCTCGACCCCCCCCCCCCTCTGTTACATGAAACCCCTCTGTTCCACGTGACTGAGCTCTCCAGCTGACTAACACTCGTACTTTTGTTTTAATTTAAAAATTGTGCGCGAAGATTTGTAATTCAGAGTTGGGATGATTATTATTATTATTGTTTCCTTTAATTCCTAGAGGAACATAGGGCTTCAGCCGTGCATCTCCATTGCGTTCGGTTCTCTGCTAAAGTTTTCACCTGGCTCCAAGTCTGCCCACACGTTTTCATCTCCTCTTCACATGACCTCCTCCAAGTCACCCACCCTCGAACTGACCACCAACTCGCCGCTTCCCTTTCGGGTTCCACTCGAGCAATGGCTTGTCTAGTGATGTCACTTGATGATTTCCTCAGATTATGGCCAATCCACCTCCATTTCTTCCTGCCTATTTGTTTCACAATCGGTTCCTGCTGTGTTGGTTCGCTCATTGCCAGAGATCCCTCTCTGTTGCTGATGTTTTATGGCCATCTGATCTTGAGTATTGAGCGAAGACAACTGTTAATGAAGGTCTGTAGTTTGTTTGAGATACTCTTTATGACGCGCAGTGCAAGTCTCTGATCCGTATAGTAGCACTGACTTTACATTGGAGTTGAAAATCTGGATCTTATTTTCATTTTCATAGTGAGTGCTGTTGACCTCCACTCAGACTTGAGAGTAGTGGAAGCTTGTCTTGCTTTTCCGATTCTTGCTTTGATATCCTCGTCAGTTCCGCCGGCCTGTAGTTGAAACGATGCTTCCCAGGTAGGTAGGTAAAGGAGGTTGTTTCTTTCAGGTTCCTCCCATTTATGCTGGCTGATTGTTGTCTGTTGTTGTTCTTGCCCAGAAATCTTCATCACCTCTGTTTTCTCTATGTTCACCTGAAGTCCTTGCTATCTTTGATGCTTCTTCTGCCAACTTGTTGCTTTTCGCTTGCATATCTTCCAGTTTGTGGGAAATCAGACATATGTCATGATCGGCGAAGTCCAGATCCTCCAAGTTTTTTGTGTGAGTCCATTTTATGCCTGTTTCCTCGTTGCCCGCTGTTTGTCGCATTATCCAAATCTACTGCAATCAAGAAAATCATTGGCTGTAGTAGGCAGTCTTGTCTTACTCCCGTCTTCACTTCGAAGGATTCCGTAAGTTTCCCTTTGTGGATTACTTGGCATGCAGCATTGTCGTACAGCTGTTGGATGAGATGTATAATTGTCGGTGGCACCCCATAGTAGCGAAGTAGTTTCCAAATCACCTCTCGATCGAGAGGTGCTTTGGAAACTACTTCGGGATGATAAACTGGTGTATTTATGTGTGTGTGTGTGTGTCTGTATCCTCTGAGCTGTGCATGATTGAATTGCGAAGCTTTCACATTGTGTTCCAAGTGTAACACAGTGGGCGGTAAAGTTAAACTTTAAGCACCACTAACTGCCAATCAGCGAACGACCTTCAACGAACCAATCACATGAAAGAGGCATTTTTGGTTATGGAATACGGATATTTATGACAAAACTGTATGACTTTCTCTGACATGGGATAGAAACATCTACTATTTTACCATAGGAGTGTCAAGTGAAAAGTTACACCACATTCCGTACAAATATTCACTCATCTAAATGGCATCCTTTTAAGACCACCCATTAATGGCCCTAATCCTGTTGTTTAACCTTCCGCAAAAGCCTACGGTGTGCGTCGGTGGCATAGCGGTTAGGACGCTTGCCGACCATGCACATGGTCCGGGGTTCGATCCCCGGCCGGCGCACTCCTTTACCTCGCTAAACCAAAACTAAAAGCTGGCGAAGAGGAAAGGTTGGGCGTGAGGCTAGCAACCCCATCCTGTAAAATAAACACTGCTACATAAACTTCAAGCCACTAGCTTGAAGCTCTATGTTCCATGGTGAAATGTGAAGGAAAAAAAGCCTACGATAGAACTGGTGTGTGTCCCTGTAATGGGATCCACAAAATCACTAGAATGGTTGACTCTGTGATGAATATATCCAAGGGATGACAGGGAGTTATAACCTTCCCACTCATTGGTGTGTGTGTTATAAAACCTTGTTTCACAAGTCGTGTGATAAATGTATTAAGGTGGTTGACTTCCTATCTGCTATCCTCTCGCTTCCACGGTGTGGGCAGCCGGGAAGTAACAACCGCCCACACACTTCCAAAAGCAGACGAAGCCTACCTGAGCTATCCTCTCGATGAATTATTTCTGTGGAGAGGTGTAATATAAGCGAATCAGCCAAACATTGTTCGCACCCTCACGACCACGGTTATATTTTTTCTTCAATAAGACATTCTCGTCCACGTGTACGACGACACCTTCTCCTCATAATAACGAAGTAATTCTCTCCATTTTCCACGACGCAATGTCTCTGCAGCACTGATACCACTGAACTGTTGATACGAAGCTATTTACAGTTTCAGCAGCTGTGCCTCTCACAGTCTGTTTTAAAACCCAGTAATTACAAATATACTAAATCTAGGTTATGGAGAGATGAGATCTAACAAAAAAATATTCCTACGAAATATTAGAATCATCAGATTACGTTTCCGGATACTAACTTGTCTCCAACAAAATGGCACAAAGATGGACCTATGCATCAATCGACTCATGACACCTCCATATGAACAAATCCTTTCCTTCCTAAGCAACCCCACATCCAAGCAATACGGGAAAACCTTATCTTCACCAAACTGCAAGCGTAACTGCATTAGATCAGGCATTTGACTCGAGTCGAGCAGAATAGAACCTTAAACTCACGTGAATGAGACTCATTGGACCATTCAAAGTCATTCGCTGATTGGTAGTTAGTGGTGTTTAAAGTTTAACTTGGCCCAATGGGCTTCATTAACACAATTCCGGTTCACTCTATTCTCTGAACTCTTTTTACAAGTATGCTCTACCATCGCTCATATGCTTTTATTTCCTCCTCATCATCATACGATCTCCTTTATGTGTCACCCTTGGACTTATGCTCACCTTTTCGTTTCCTATTCGGATTCCACTTGAGGGCATTTGCTTTTGGGGTGGGGGGATTCTGTCTGGTTCTACTGCATTTCCGACTTTCAGTAGCTTTATCGCATCAGGAGAAAACATAGACTGACTGGCTGACTGACTAGCTTTCCGGATGCCTTCACATCATTTCGTCTCTCCGAGTCCAGCGAAGAATGAGTTTATAATTTTTTTCTTCTGTTCTTTGAAGTTTCTGTGTAGGGGTTGTATTGATTTTTTTGGAGTGTGATCGCTAGTTCCACACCCAACATTCCTTCTTTATCCGGTCTTAGGACCGGCTAGTAGACTAGTAAACTAGACGAGGCCTTTTTTGAAATATACTTGATTTAATGAATTTTGTGATTCGCTAATTTCCTTTTTATTTTGTTTGTAAATTTTCCTACAGTTGATTCAACTTTCATTAACTTATGAAGAATATTTGCATAAATACGCAACAGACGTATCACAAAAACAATCCGATATAATAATTATTCAAAATAAAGTAAGTATTTTTCCTTTTTAAAAATCCTTTACGTTCCCAGTGCTGGAACATGTCTGTCTGGTTTCAACATAGAACTTTGCACCGATGTGCAGCAGTTCAAGTCGTCACACTCCCTCCATGTAGAACACAAAGCAAGAGAAGAAAGTAAAAAGAAATGCAAAATAGAGATAGTAAATAGGGATTTGAGACAAAAGGAATAGTAATAACGAAGAACAATATAGTTTCATTGGCTATTATAAGTCACAAGGAATGGATGCATCTTCGCCATCCATTAAGAACGACTTTGAGCCATATCACCGATTGTCTCCAGCCTTCATTGGTTTTTACCGTCCCGAGAACCCCAACCACAGTCAGGAAGTCTACACCTTCCTACGTGGCTAGCTTAAACTAACATTGCCCATCGAGGAAGGCGATGTCTAGGTATGCACACGTAACACAATATGTCCTAACCATCTCAGTCGATGTAACTTCACAGCCTCGTCGATTTATTTCCCCTCCTCCTTACCTAGCACTCGACGACTAACCTCCATATTGCTCACCCTATTACATCATCGCCTAACACGTGAGATAGAATGCAGACACCTATGATCAAAGACAGCTAGCCAGGCTTTTCATGTCTTCCACTCTCGATGGCCGTGTCTGACTCACAGCCATAAAGGAGGACGGAGAGGACTGCTGTACACTGGTTGATAGCCAGCAGGATATCACTTATACTAAGCCAGAGACGGCGTAAACTAGCATATGCGAAACTAGCCCTCTGTATCCATGCTGAGATTTCGTCAGCGATCAACTCTCTAGAGATGGCTGATGCAACTTCCCAAATAAGTGAAGTGGTCAACACGCTCTACCACTTCACTCCTGCTTATTTCTAAGCTAGGAGTAGTCAATGTAGTTCAGTCCTGCAGCAACCAATCAGAACAGTTTATTATCTGTTGACCTTGTCAACCTTTAAATTTGTCTAAAAATATGTAAATATGGTGTATTTCGCCTGCATAAAGTGTGTACTCCGTAACCAAGTCACTTGTCTTCTTCTGTTGTAACACTCTACTGTAATTTCAAGACTGCAGCTTGAAGCCCACTCCTTCACCCCCACATGTTCCATTCAGAAATTAAGGTAGTGAGTGAACAAACAGAATATTCCTTTGGGTTCATTAATCCGCTTTCTACATTAATGAATTTTACTTTGCCATGGATAATAATAATAATAATAATAATAATAATAATATTGATGATCAAATTCTTTAATCCAGCTTAGTTTTATTGGGATTGAAACAGAAATACTTCCGTTGTCATCAGTTATCAGATGACTTCAACATGTGATTCCTGTCACCGAATACTTTTTATTTAAGTAGTATATATATGTATATATGTGTGTGCGTGAGAGAAAGTGAGAGAGATATTCTCATCCCTGTAATTCCTATTGATCATATGATGGGACCAAATATTTGAATTTTTCACAATCATGTTTATCATTGGGTTTCACTTCCGAATTCGGTTGCAATGAATAGTAAGGCATATTATATTAGATATGATGGAGAAGATTTGTAGCTCAGCTGGATGATTTTGATGTAGTTTTGTGTTCTCTGAGCTAACTGGATGGTTTATTTGTGAAGCTTTCATTGCCCCCCCCCCCCCTAGTAGGCAACATCCTCAGCGCATACACTTCAATTTGAATTGAAGTGAGCTTTTCAATTTCTCCACGAGTTGATAAATCATCTCTTCTGGTGGGTGACCTTGAAGGTGATTGGCTGTTTTTGTGTGTTTTCACATCCGCTAGTCTACACTGGTATTGGTACTGAGTGTTTCTTTGACCTGAAGTTTGACCCTTTGTGTGTGAAATTTGCTTTTTATCGATTGGTAAATTTAGTCTGTGTCAATTTATCTATAGGATGGAGGATTTCATAATGAGCTGACATCAGTGTTAGAGAACCACTGGAAAACCTGGGATCACTGGACAGCTGTTTCGTTGGCCTAGTTTGGGACTCTTCATCAGTATGCACCCACCGGGGTTTGAACCCAGGACCTTCTGGTTACAAGGCTAGCGAGCTCGTAGACTATTAAGTCACTGGGACCCAATCCAATGGCCCATGAACTCTAACTTCTGCCGATTCACGATGCAGAGCGACCATTTCACAATGTCTTCTTCGATGAGCTTTTGCCTCATCTTCAACCTACTGTACCCTACTGGTTATGGCTTCCCATTAGAACCCCAGGTAACTGCCTGAATAGGGCCAGTCGCTGGTGAACATCGGATTAATTTTCAAGTATTGGTTTGGTAGGGATTTTGTTTGATTGCATAGGGGATTTCGTCATGAGCTGACATCAATATTAGAGAACCATTGGAAAACCTGGAAGTACTGCCAGACAGCTATTTCGTTGGCTTAGTTTGGGACTCATGATGAAATCCTCCGATCAATCGAACAAAATCCCTACAAAACCAATATTTGAAAATTTATCTATTGATTGACGATTCACTGGAATACCAGACAGCCTTCGAAAAATTCTCTAGCATTCTTGGTGTTTCCTCTGTCTAATATCTGAACGTTTTCCCAATCGAATCTATATCTGTGGTTGTCTGTGTGCAGCGATATGAGGGAGCGGATTTCATATCTTTTGACGACTAGTTTATGTTCATGGATGCGAAGACGAAGCGGACGTCGTCCACTTTGGCCAACGTAGTGTTTTTCGTAGTCGTTACAATTTATTTTGTAAATGATGTTGGTTTTATCTTCTTTCGTCGTTGAGTGTCTTTCGGTTGACATAGAACCAGCTGAGTGAAGTGATTTTGTTGGTTTGTGAGCCACATCAATTCCTAAAGGTGTTTGAAGAGTCTTGCAGTGATTTTTCACATATTTTTTAAATATGGTAGGGCGATTTTCTTTGTGTTTTCCTTGGGAGACTGGAACGACGTTCAAATATTAAACAGATAGCTTTTTGTTAGTATTACTACTTGAGTTTAGACACTTCGTTGATAAAATTATGTGGGTATTCCTTCTTTTTGAATACACTTAGTAAGTATTTCTCTTGCATTCTCTTCAGCACCGGAGTGCTGCAGTATGGTTTGAACTCAAAGTGGCTGGCTGCCTATTGATTAAGATTCCTTAACTAGGACAAAATAGCTGTCCAGTACTCACTCATTGTTGGTTTTCCAATAATTCTCTAACTAATATCAGCCCGTGATCAACTTACATATTGATTTATCGATTTATTCCCTATTTTTTTTGTGTGTGACTTCCTTATAGATCGATCGAGATGTCTGTCAATTGTCAGAAACACTTGAAGCTCGTGAAAAAGGCATCATCAGTGCTGCTGTGGTGGTAACAGCTCTATGCGTCATTCAACTAGTTTAACATTTCGTAGTCCTTTTAACAGTCCAAAGAAAACTAATCCAACTGCATCAGAGTCAAATTCTAGTCGTAAACAGAAGTTGGCTGGTTCACAACAAATTGAAACAATTGTCTTGTTAACTAGTCAAATTTCTGGTTTAATGTCTCAATGTGATGAATTATGCAAGCATTTGATGAGTGCAATCAATAATCTTAACGAAACATTATCAAATTATGAATCTAATTGAAAAAAAAATTTTTTTTTAATATTTGTAAACAATTTTTTTTCATTACCTGATCTATACTACTTATTTTTGTCTATTGTGAATAATTATACTAATCCTCCTACTCTTATGTAACCAATTATTATTATTGTCATTCACTTTTGTGGCGGGAAATGTCTTTTTTTTAAAAAAAACTTATTTCTATACAATTTTCAAACAATTCTATGGCGTTTTTTAAAAATTCCTTTTTAGTGTTCCATTGGGTTTTGAGTGGCAAAAAATAGTGCTTCAACAGCATATCTTCATTTTGTCCTGTTCTTTGTGGTCCTCATCATCTGATCACATAGTCGCTCATCTCCTGTTCGCTATACGATCTCCACCATGTCACCCTCGGACCCATATCAAACTTGTCGTCTACCTACTTGGGTTCGACTTGAGCGATGGCCTGCATTGCGTACGATGTCATTCGGCACTCTTCTCAGCGTGGATCCAATCCATGTCTATTGTTTTCTGCATATTTGTTCAGTAATGGATTCTTGGTTGGTTGGTTCGTTAATTGTCAGAGTTTCTTGTTGTTAATTTTTTCTAGCCATTTGGTTTTGAATATAAAGTGAAGGCAGCTGTCGTTAAAAGTCTGAAGTAGCCAGTTGAAAATGCTTTTTGTGATACGCCAAGTACCTGACCCATATAGAGGAACTGACTTAACACTATACGGAATACAGAAGATTTTCAGAGTGTCGAATTCGATCTTGCCTTTCCTGTTCTGGTTTTGACATCCTCAGCATCATTATCGGTGCTAACTGCCTGTATTTGAAACGATGTTGCGTGCATAAGTCAAGGAAGTTACCTCTTTGATGTTTATTCCGTTGATAGTGATTGGTGCTTGTTCTTGACAGTTCGCTGCCTCCCTGTTCCACCAGTTTGTTAGTTTTCGCCTGTAGATCTTTGAGTCTGTAACATTAGACATCAGTCATCCGCACAATTCAGATCTTCCAGAGTCTTCTTGTTGGTCGAACACGTTCCTGTCTTTTTGCAACCCACAGTCTTCCCCATAATCCTGTCCAATCATCGGTAATAGTAGGCGTGCAGTGTTGTCCTACTCCTGTATCCTCGTTTTATTTTCCAATGGTACTTTTTTTCTAAGCAGTGGAAGTCAGCAAATACAGTCCCACCACACTGACCAGCAATAGTCACATAACTGACCAGTGTGAAGTGATTTAAACACTAGGCCATCATCATGCTAAACAAAGATTAAACCAAGTGTATTTCTTATTCCCTTACGTTCCCCGGTGGAACATAGGGCTTCAAGCTACAGGCTTGAATTTCCGGCAGCAGTGGCGGTTTATTGTTTTACGGAATGGGATTGCTAGCCTGCCTCATGCCCAACCTTACCTCTTTACCAAACCTATTACTGGCTTAGCGAGGTAAAGGAGTGGGTCGACCAGGAACTCGAACCCTGGACCACCTGAATGGCTGGCGAACATTCTACCGCTGTGCCACCGATTCGTTTTTATTAGACCGAAATGGTCGGTCACTGTTGACATATCGGTATCTTCTGTGGATACTACTAACCATTTTCGAGGATGTGTGTCATAAAGTCCCAGCACCCAAAAATAGTTTGCTTCCTTCCTAACGAGGCATTTCCTTTTTCGTTCATAAGTACCGTTTCGTCAATATGAACGACGACACCAACTCCTCCAAGTACAGAAGTAATTCCATTGGTCTTTTGTACCGTAATATCCCGACAGTGCTGATATCACTACACTGCTAACACTTTATTATTCTGTGTTTCCGCAGCTGTAGCAGATACTGGTCAATTCAGTAGCCAGTAGTGGCATATATACAATATTTTAGTAATGGAGAGTTTCGATTTCTAGAAGAAAGTATCTAAAATATTATCATAATGTACAACTTACCAACTCTTACAGACTTCTACGTATATAACAGTGATTGCATTTGAATACATAACCATCGATAGCCCGGCAATAATTTTGCAGAGTCATTATCTCTCAACATATGCATGTTTTAGTCCTTCCTATCAACCCTTTTTCCACAGAGAAGTCAAAAACCAAATCTGGGTAAAACTTGCAACAAAGATTATGAAGAGAATCCCTTTTTGTAATGCTGACAGAATTGATTGGTTAGTTCAAGGTCATTTGAATTTGGTGTCTGTTATTTACTCTCGCCCCGTTAGATCAACTCTGACAGATAATTTTTTTCATAATTCGGGCCTGTAAGTGTTTCAGATCTCTTTTGATTGTTATTGTAAGTCACTAAACAAGTACTTCTCTTGCTGTTCCTTAAAATCAAATAGGCGCCGTAATGGTAAAGAGAGGGGAAACTGGACGGCAGAGATGCAGATGCACCCAACAGATGAGACGTAAGTGGGGCGAAGCTCAAGTTCAGGATTTCATTTCTGGCCAATAACAGTGGAATAATAAGTGTAAAACCTTTCGACTGTGTATTTTATTTTAATCACTTGTTGAGAGTGAATCGCTTAGGCCACTTGAGTTCCACTTATTTACCCTTATCGCGGCTAACTTAGAACACGTATTCTCACGGTAGGAGTAACATATGTATTTAAAGTGTGTTTGGAGTATTTGTGGTAGCATGCCTAGAAATAGTGTTCTGTGTGCGGCAAATAAGGTCCAATCCTCCTACTAGTTGTAAAATTTGAGGATGGGACTTCATTTTGGCGGAAGTATCAAGGATCCTCTAAGTATGATAGTCGTTGGTGTATCGTCCCTACAATAGGCTAAAGAAAACACATAAATACACCCAACAGAAGGGCTAATATCCTAGGCCTTGTACGTGTGAAAAACATAGCTCCACATACAGTACAGTTAGGTATTATGAAATAGTGGTGTTGTTCTATGGTTTTTCAGTAAGGTTATTCAAAGCCGAACTGCTCAACCAAGTGAAAGGCTGTACACACATGTCCACCGGAATTCATATCACTGTCTAAATGGGATTCATTCTCCACCTATGAATCCTTAAAGGAAGTGCTTAGTAGTTTCCATGCTGGTATCAGTGGATCACGTCATCGCATCTGTAGAACACACTTCGCTTCATATGAATCTGAATGGCGCTTATAAAAATACAGCCTGAATGGAGCTTGCTAAAGAAACCTAACAGAATACTAAAAATACAGTGTCATATGAGCATTATTTTGCAACACTGCTTTTGTCAAGGGACTTAACCTTGAATTCCTATTGTAACGAAGACGCTCCAAATCGATAACTACAATGTACTTCTCCCGACTTTAACTCCAAAACACCGGTACTCGTTTGCAAGTTATATTGTTTGACAATTAAAGTAAAGACAATTACAAGTCTATAAACGAATGCTTCATACAAAATATCATTTACTTTTATTCGTATTCTTTCGTCTTCTTCGAACTTGTACACGACTGAACCATTCGCGCCTTCGAGTTGCCCACCAATGGCTACCAGTTCCAATAAACAAACGTTCAATGTTCACGTCCATTGATAGCTGTCCTAAGTGAAGTTCAGAACTTTGGAATCCACTACCATAAGAAGCGGAATTTCGAACAAATCGGTAACATTTAGAATAGTTGTTTGCTTTTCCTCACTTGAGTTCCTAGTGAAACGTAGGGCCTCAGAATCACACTTTCATTTCAACCTGTTCCCTAAGGTCTTTTCAGCTGGCTCCACAGTTGTCCATACGCTGTCATTTCTCACCAATGCGATTGTCTCCACGTCATCCTAGGACCCCACGCTAGCTCATTTTCCCACCCCAGTGCCTGGTGCGTGATGCCACTACAACTCCTCCGCAGCGTGTGTCTGTATTTCTCCTTGCGTATTTGCTGGGTGATCGACTGTCGCTTGGTCCATTGCCGGAGTTACTTGTTCTTTATCGTTTCTGACCATCTGGTCTTCAGTATTGGGTGAGGGTGACTGAAGATGAAAGTCTGCAGTTGCCTGTTCGAAATGCTTATGCTTTTGAGCGTACCAAATTGATGAACAACATCGAAGCAATGGCATACCATTAGTGTCAGAAATTTAGATGTTTCTTTTGGTAATGAATGCTGTTAGTCTCTACTCTGGTTTCAGAGTAACAGACGTCCTCTTTTTTCCGTACCCTGGTTGGCTTCAACATCCTCATCGCTGCCGCTTAGGTAAGCGAAATTGAAGGCTTCTCTTAGACTTCTCGGGTTGATCGCGACTAGTTGGTGTAACTATCTTTCTTGTTTGGGTATGTTCATCACCTCAGTCTTTCCCATGTCAATCTGAATTCCTGTATTTATTACCTTTTATGCTTGTTTACTCTCACATATATGCAGAACAGAACATAAATCGTGCACAGATTTCAAATCTGTTAGGGCTTTTTCTGTGCAAAATGGGCCTGCTTCCCACGGCTTTTGTATGATTCAGTCTTATACAATAATTGAAATCATCAGTGAGAGTAGGCAGCCTTGCGTTACTCTTATTCTCGCTTCTTAGTTTCTTGTGGGCTCACGTTTTTGAACCACCTGGCATGTAGTTATTATGACAAGAATGGGTACTTTCATCAGATAATCAGATGGTTCACCCGTGTTAAATGGTGCATAAATAGGGTGAGAATTACTGAAGTAGTCCGTTCCAATCATGTTGCTGGTTATTGTCTCACCAACGCCTGCTTCATAAACAATATGGGAGCGCATACAAATGAATTTGAATAAAATATTAATGCACAATCCGTTAGGAGATTTGAAACATTTGCAGAATAACCAAGAGTTTGTCGCCAGCATGCAGATAAGTATTTTAGATGTGACAGGCCTGATGAATAACTATTTCTACTACTTAACTGTCCATCAAAATACATTTCTTTCTTCTGAACATAAATAATGCATATGGTTCAGCTCGATGAGAATCTCCGCTTCTATCCTCTGCATGCTGTAGTGTGGCTCGCGATTATTCAGTTATTGCTAGTTATCAGAAGAAGGGCTCATCACGATTGTTTCACTTCTCACGGTGCTTTTGAAGCCGGCATTCAGAGGTGAGTGAACGGGTGTGTCTCCACAG